TAGGAGGCGGCACCTGTGACTCAAGGAGTAGGGCGCTGGTCCCACTGTCCAATGTGAGGCCGTTCAAACCTGGCCTTGGCCAAAAACTGCAAAAAAAAAAAAAAAAAGAAAGAAAGAAAAGAAAGGAGAGAATTGATAGGTACAGTAGTGTTTTAGCCATCTTGTTTTTCAAAGGTCCAGTGCATATTTTTAATCCTTTCATCATTGTAACAGTTAATTTTTGTTGAATAAATTCTGGATGAGTTTACTTTGGTGGTAGACCTTTGTGCTGGTCACTATGGAAAATGGGTCTGAGTATTTCCTGGAGAGCTGGTGTAGTTATGGCAAATTTCCTCAACATGTGGATTTCAGTAAAGTATTTGATTTCTCTATCACAAACAAAATTCAGTTTAGCTGAATACAAGATCCTGGGCTGAAAGTTGTTTTATTTTAAAAGGTTGGGCATCCTCTTCTGGTTTGAAAAGTTTTAGCTGACAGATCTGCAGTCATCCTAATATTTTTCCCTTTGTGGGAATGCTTTCCTTAGGTCTAGAAGCTTACAGGATTTTCTCTTTCATATTAACTTTGGCAAAGTTAACTACAATGTGTTTAGGAGATGCTTTATTTGGATTGAGTCATGCTGGGATTCTGAAACTATCTACTATCTGAATTTCTGTATCTCCTGCAATGCTTGGGAAATTCTCCTCCATAATATCTTGGAGCAGAGGATCTGTGCCTTTAGGACCATCATCTTTTCCTTCAGGAATCCCTAAAATTTGGAAAATTCCATCCCTATAATTCAGATGTTTGATCTTTTGGAATGATCCCACAACTCTCTCAGGGAATTTTCTGTTCTTGTTTTCCATTTTTCTTCCTATTTGAATACTTGGGATCATTCAAAAGCCTTGTCTTCAATTTCTGAGATCCTTTTTCTGCCCACTCAACTCTATTGCTGAGGGACTCTACTGTATTTTGAAACTCCTCAAATAACTTTTTCACTTCCTTGAGCTCTGCTATATCTTTTTTCATTATTTCCATATTCTTGGTGACTTTGTCCTTGAATTCATTAATTTCTGGAGACAGCTTTTCCTCTATTCTGTTCATCTTATTTGGCATCCATATTCTGAATTCTATTACTGACAATTCAGCTATTTGTCTATGAATGGCATCTTCTGTTGTATCTCTTTGTCATTCCCTGAGGGCATCTGTGAAAACTCTGCAACTAACATTATACCTAGTGGTGATAAACTAAAATTCTAAGATTTAGAGCAAGGGAAAGATGTTTGCCTTATACTCCCATTTAGTATTACAGTGGAATTCCCAATTAGTGCAATAAGGCAAGATAAAAGAAATCAACTGTCATAAAAATTTCAAAGAAACCACTAAAATTATCCCGACAGGTGACATATCTGCATTTTCTTAATGCTCAAGAATCTACCAGAAATAGAATTTGTAATGAACTTAGCAAAGTGGCAAGATACAAGTCCAAATTCTAAAAATGAATCATATTTTATATACTAGTAGCCAACAGTTGAAAATGAAAAGTAAAAAATATATACAACAAATATAAAAACACAAAATGGACAGGCTTACAGTTAATGAAAGACATACAGTGCCACTACAATGAAAACTATAAAATATTTTCTAGAGAACTTAAGGAAAATTTAAATAAATACAGAATTTTACCTTCTTTGCAAAATGGAAGCCATAATATTATTAAGATGTCCATTTGTCCCAAATTGATCCATAGGTTTAATGCAATTTCTATCAAAATTTTAGAAGACTCTTTCTTTTGTAAACATTCACAAATTGCTTGTAAATTTTAAATGGAAATGCAGAGAACCTATAATAGACAACACAAATTTGGTAAGGAATTATGTAAGATGATTTGTGCTACTTGATTTAAAAATATACATCCATTGTAATTAAGACCATGTGTACTAGCTTTAATTTAAGACATATAAATCAAAGGAATAAGAACTAGAATGCAGAACTAGATCCACTCTTACATAGTCAATTGATTTTTTATAAAGGCTCCAATTATTTTAATAAAAATAGATAATATTTTCAACAAATGATCCTGAAAACACTGAATATTCATTTGAAAGCAATGAATCTTGATCCCCATAAACTGGCAAAAAATTAATTTGAAATGATCACCAACCTAAACATAAAAGACAGATATAAATTCTAAAGAAAATATAGGAGACCTTGAGATATGCAATAATTTCTATGTGAAAATTAAAAAAATGTACTAACCATCGAAGGAAATATTGATGTCACCAAAATTATAATTGTCTGCTCTTCAGAAGAAACCATGAAAAATTTGAAAAAGAAGAGCAAGGCTGGGGGGGGGGGTTTCAAAATACCTTTATCCAACAAATGACTTGATAAAGGAATCTATAAAGCTCAAAAATAGGAAATAAACTTTTGAAATAAAAATTGAGAAAAGGATTTGGACAGACACTTCACACAAAATGTTTAAATTCTTAATAAGCATGTGAAGATGTTCAATATCATTAGGTCAGAAAACTGCAAATTAAACCCACAATGATATGTCTTACTACATACCTACTACATTGCTTAAAAATAAAAATACTAAATACTAAGTAGTGGCAATGATGTGGGGCAATTGAAGTTCTCATAGATGGCTGATGAGAGTGTAAAATGTCAGAACCACTTCTGATAATAGTTTGACAGTTTCTTGTGAGGTTAAATACACATTTACTATACTACCCAGCAATCACATGCAAATACTTACCCAAAGAAAAAAAAAGCCAATGTACAGAAAACTCGTATGTGAATATTCATAGCAGTTCTCTTCTTAGTAACCAATAGTAACCAATTTTTAACATAAGCATTTTATTGTTGCCTAAAAAGTTTACTCCTCGCAATATGTTTTTAGACACACATCTTTATTTTAAAAGGTAAAATTTTTTTAGTAGTTTGTTGTCTATTTTTTCAGAATCTCTAACATAATAATAATATAACTGCAACCATAATCTGAGAAGGGTTTAATCCAAATTTCTAAAATATTTAAGAAATTGAAACAACTCAATAGCAAGCAAAGAAATAATACAGTTTAAAAATAGCAAAAGACCTGAATAGACATTTCTCAAAAGAAGAAAAACAAATGGCCAACAGATATATAAAAAAAGTTTGATATCACTAATCATTAGAAGAATGCAAAATTAAAACTGCAATGAGGTATAAATTTGCACTTCTTAGAATGTTTGTTTGTTTGTTTCGAGACAGAGTCTCACTTTTTTGCCCTTGATAGAGTGCCCCAGCATTGTAACTCACAGCAACTTTAAACTCTTGGACTCAAGTGATTCTCTTGCCTCAGCCTCCTGAGTAGCTGGAACTACAGGCCCTAGCCACAATGCCTGGCTAATTTTAGAGACAGTCTTGTTCTTGCTCAGGCTGGTCTGGAACCCCTGAGATTAGGCAATCCACTCACCTCAGACGCTCAGAGTTCTAGGATTACAGGCATGAGCTACTACACCCGGACCTATAATATTTTTTATCAAAAAGACATAAGATAACAAGTGTCACCAAGGATGAGGAGAAAAGAGAAGACTATTGGCAGAAAAGTAAATTTGTACAGCCATTATGAAAAACAGTATGGAGGTTTCTCAAAATATTTGAAATAGAACTATGGTTTGAGCCAACAATTCCAGTTCTGGGCATAGGTACAAAGGGAATGAAATCAGTATGCTGAAATGTATCTGCATGCCCATGTTCTTTGCAGCATTATTCACAAGCCAAGATATGGAATCAACATTAAGAGTTTGTTAATGGATAAATGGATGACAAAAATGTGGTGTATGTACACGGTAGAATATTATTCAGTCTTAAAAACAGAAGGAAATTCTGTCATTTGCAATGCAATGCCACAGCATGAATGAACTTGAAGGACATTAAGCCCAGTGAAATAAGCCAGGCACAGAAAGAAAAATAGAGGAAGATCTCACTTGCATGCGGAATCTAAAAATGTCATTCTCATAAAGAATAGAAAGATGGTTACCAGAGACTGGAGGTGAGGGCAAGAGAGTGAGAGAGATGGAGAAAGGAGAAATGTTGATCAAAGGGTACAACATTTCAATTAGATTAAAGAAATAAGTTTTAGTGATTCATTGCTCTGCATGGTAACCACAGTTGTTAATAATATATTTCAATATATGTGTATTTCAAAATTGCTAAAAGAATAGATTGTAATGGTCTCATCACAAAAAATTTGATAAGTTGGTAAGTTGATGGATATGTTAATTAGCTTGACTGACTCTTTCTACAAAGTATACGTATATCAAAGCTTCACAGTGTACCCTATAAACATATATAATAATTATTAGTCAATTTAAAAAGAGATAAGTATTTGAGATAATGGAAATGTTAATGAGCTTGATGGAATTGTTCCACAATGTGTATATCTACATTAAAATATTACACTATACCCCATAAATATATACAGTTTTTTAAAAGAAATAATAAAGAACCTCTCATTGGATTATATGGCCTTTTAAAATGACAAGATCACAAAAATATTTAGTGGTAGACATTTTATTGTTTCTAGGCCATAACATGAATCTTGTATGATTAAATTATTAGCTTTAATGTTATATGTAAACAAGAAAATCCTATGCTTTATGCACAGAATAAAATATACAATTTATATTCTCCTTTTTCCAGATATGTTTTATTCCTAAAGATCACTTATATGAAGCTTTTAAGCGTTTCTGTCCTGTCATTGAACATAAAATGTGGCTAAAACTTGGACTTGGTATTACTGCCAGAAAAATCAGGCAACACTTGTCTTATGAGGTAATAGCTCTCTGTATAATTTTTGTTTCTCTCTGAATAGAATTGCATGAAAATATTATTAGAAAATGACTATTTATGAATTTATATTCAACTTTATAAAGAAATAATAGACTATGCAATGGTATTTTGTTATAGGACTGGAACTACAAGATGCAATTGAAGCTCTCTAATGTTTTTGTAAGAGATATACCAAAGAGCACCAAAACTAGTATCTATGATGAAACTGTAACCTATGTTATCCTTATACATGGAGCTGTAGAAGATTGTCAATTACGAAAAATTTATAAGGCACCCTTCTTAATTCCTATAACGTGCCATCAGGTAAAGAAATGTTGATTCACGTCTTTAGGTCAATATGCTATATCTCCAAAATGTATTAACAAAAAAAATTATCACAATAATCTTAAGCTTTCCACCTTTCAATCCTCCCCCTTTCTTGATCACTTTTTTAAACACTCATCCATACCCGCACCACACACATTTTACCAAGCTCACTGATTGCTTTGGCCCTTGGTACCCTAAGTAGAATCTATTCCCATAGGCATTGGCCTATGAAGCAGGCCAATTTATACATTTTATTTTTGCCAGTTATACATAGTAAAAGAGAACCTGTTAATTTATTTTACACATTGCAGAAGGGCAGTATCAACAGTACTCTAGAAAGGTCCTGTCAGATCCATGACAAATTGAGTAACAATAGTGTTTCCATAGCTGCTTTGAAAGTTAATGTAAAAGTGGAGATTTTCATACTGTTAATTAAATTCCCCTGCCAATCAAAAATGAGAACCAGCACCATGTAAATAAGAAGAAAGACTGTATATACGTATGTGTGTGAGAGTGTTATGTGTGTGCATTTGCATGAGTTTTGGGCGAGAATAAGAGAGACACATATTAAAAAAGGATTAGGCTCAGCACCCATAGCACAGTGGTTATGGCACCAGCCACATACACCAGAGCTGGTGGGTTCGAACCCAGCCCAGGCCAACTAAACAACTGCAATAGAAAAATAGCCAGGCGTTGTGGCAGGCGCCTATAGTCCCACCTACTTGGGAGGCTAAGGCAACAGAATCTCTTGAGTCCAAGAGTTTGAGGTTGCTGTGAGCTATGATGTGATGGGCACTCTACCAAGGGCAATATGGTAAGACTCTTTCTCAAAAAAAAAAGAAAAGAAATCATCAAGAGACATGTCAAATATAGCTATGGAAAGTAAATTGGAAAGAGACCAAGAGTCAATTAAATTAGGCTTAAATGTTTTTATCTATTTTAAGCAATTAATATATGATGGAAACAATGCTAGATGCTGAAGTGATAAAGACAAATGAGATTTACAAGTTATCTCTCAACCTCAAGAGATCTCTCAACCAAGTGGAAAGAAATGGATATGTAAATATATATATATATATTTAATGGATATATAAATGCATATGTAAATATTATATTTATACACATATATAAATTTTAGTAATTTATTTGCACTTTTGATCAACAATTCTTTTACACTTTTAAATTTTCAGATTAATATGAGTATACAAATATTTAGGTTACATTATTGTCATTTCTGAGGTAAAGTTCAAGTTGTTGTTGAGCCCTTCATCCAGGGGGCATGCTGAAAACCCTCACACTGTGCACATTAGGTGAAAACCTGCTAATAACCCTCCATTCTCTCCTTTTCCCCCGTCTCTTTTCTTCCCTCTCTCTGCTAGACTATACTCATGGTTTTATTTCTTGTGGGCATGCAATTGTTTATATATTAGTTTCATAATAGAATTGAGTACATTGGATACTTTTTTCCCATTCTTGTGATGCTTTATTAAGGAGAATGTGTTTCAACTCCATCCAGGTAAATACAAAAGATGTAAAGTCTCTGTCTTTTCTTATGGTTGAATAGTACTCTGTGGTGTACATATACCACAGTTTGTTAATCCAGTCATGGTTTTCTGGACACTTGAGTTGCTTCCACATCTTGGCAATGTGAATTGAGCTGTGGTGAACATTCTAGTGCAAATGTCCTTGTGGTAAAATGGTATTTTTTCTTCTGGGTAGATACCAAGTAATGGAATTACAGGATCAACTTTTAGTTCTTAGAGAATTCTCCATACTTCTTTCCATAGAGGTTGTATTAGTTTGCAATCCCACCAGCAGTGTAAAAATGTTCCCTTCTCTTCACATCCACGCCACCACTTGCAGTTTCAAGATTTTGTGATATGAGCTAATCTCACTGGAGTTAGGTGAGAATCTCAGAGTGATTCTGATTTGCATTTTGATGATTAGGGATGATGAGCATTTTTTCCTCTTGATACAGAAGGGCTGCAGAAGTTTCTTTTGAAGTCTCTTCCCCACTTATAAATGGGGTTGTTTGCTTTTGTACTGTTGATTAATTGAGTTCACTGGAGACTCTATTTATAGACCCTTTGTCAAATGCATAGCATGCAAATATCTTCTCCCATTCTGTGGGTTTGCTTTACCCTTAGTTGTGCAGAAGCTTTTTAACTTGATCTGGTCCCATTGATATATTTTTGGTGTGCTGCAATTGCTTTCTTCATAAAACCTATGGGTCTTCTTCATTAAATCTTTTCCCAAGTCAATTTGTCAAGAGTTTTCTTCACACTTTCTTCTAGGATTATTATTTTTCTGTGTCTTAAATTTAAATCTTTTATCGAGTGAGAGTCAGTTTTTGTCAGTGATGAAATGTATGGACTGTTGAATTTCAGTCTTCTATATGTGGCTAACCAGTTATCACACCATTTATTAAATAGGGATTATTTTCCCCAGTGCATAATTTTGTTTGGTTTATCAAGGATCCGGTGGCTATGTTGCTGGGTTCATCTCTAGGTTCCATAGATCTACAGATACGTAAATACATTAATGAAATGTTTACCGCTATGATGAAATACTTACAAGGTAGATATAGGACACAAGGAAAAAGTGAGATTGGGCTTGGAAAGAAACCCAAGGTGAAAAGCAGTCACAAGAAAATTTTCTAAGTGGACCTTACCGGCACTGGGAAGACGCCCTATGACAAGAAGTAAAACATTTTTAACTGTGGTGTTCTTTATTTTTTTTTAATTAAATGATAACTGTGTACATTAATG